TTCCTGCCCCAAAATAGCCCTGCTGGCAGTTAACGGCACTGTCACACAATCATATAACATTGTTAGAATACCCTCGCTGCTTCTCATTCATGGGCTCTTGACGGTTCATGGGACCTTTCTCTACAGGTCAGTGGCCTGACCCCATCCTCCTATGCCTGCCTATCTCCTTTTCACCCCCTCCTCTCCCCTTTGCCCCAGGTCTGGTTCCAGAACCGCCGCGCCAAGTTCCGCAAGCAAGAGCGGGCGGCGAACGCCAAAGGGCAGAACGCCGGCAACGGCGGCTCCTCGGCCGGCAAGAAGCCCGACCCCCGCTCATCCTCGGAAGACGACGAGTCGAAGGAGTCCAACTGCAGCCCGACCCCTGACAGCACCGCCTCGCTGCCCACCGCCGGTAACCTGAACAGTCCCGGCGGCAGTCTGAGCCCAAGCCCTGGCAGTGGGCAAGGCCTGGGCCCCGGCCACGCCAGCCAGGCCCTCAAGGCTCCCCTCTGGCCCGGCGTGACCACCAGCAACGGGGCCACCAACACGGCCGATCTCCTGAAGGCCTGGCAGCCGGCCGAAGCCATGCCAGGGCCTTTCTCCGGCGTCCTCTCCTCGTTCCACAGGAAGCCCAACCCCCTCAAGGCCAACCTCTTCTAACTAACCCGCTCGACCCGAGCGCCACAGACATTGCCGATTCCGTCAGGTGTCCCACAAGAGTATTGTCCCCCCGTCCGCGGCTGGTAGTGCCCACACGGCGGGGGCGAGGTGCGGCCTTTTGAAGGGCTCGCCCTGAAGGAACTACACAACCTTGAGGGACCCGCAGCCACCGTCTCCTTCATGTGTGTCGTCATTTCCAGGCTGTCCGACTGTACTGAACTTATCCGAACGCGCATCATCTCCTCACACGGGGTCTCGTCAGGGACGGGGCCCGACTCTCCCATCGCCGGTTCATAATTCTGTGTGGAAGAACCTCCCTCACGCAACGGCTGCCGGCGAATTCTCCACCCTGAATCATTTTTCCTGTGTGGCGGGAGGAAGGCTTTGGTTCTTCGATCGTGCCCGCTTGCTACTGTCGCCCCAACGCTGGTCCTCCGGTTTGTGTCGGGTTTGGTGCGAGGAGGCCCAACCTCAAAATGCCAAAAGGTTTCCAAGGGCTGCCACCATTTTGAAAGACGGCGTTTCATGGTCGCATTGGAAGAAGTTCTTAATCCCGTTAATGTCTGTGTGCTGTTGTCCCTCGGAAGAAAAGGAGGAAACGTCCCTCCCTTGGGCCGCTGTACCTCTTATCCACTCTCAATGTTCCACACCGATTCCAACCACATCCTCCAGTCAAGATGGTGGCCAAAGAGGAGGACATATTGGGAAAGGCCAGTTTTCCAGAAGGAGCGGAAGTACAATGAAATGGAAAAGAAACTGTCGGTGGGGGCACATTGTTACCAACGTCTCCACTCCCTCAAGCATCTGACACAGCGGATGGGGGTCCACGAAGGGGGGCCTCAAATATCGGCCTTCGTGCTCCCCAATGTAATGGAGGACCTAACTTCCTTTCATACAACACCAACTAACTTTTCCTTCTTCTCCCTCAGAGGGGCCAGGCCTTCCTTTTGCCTTACCAAACCCTTGGCTGCATTTGGGGAGCCAGATGACCACACCTTTCCCAAAGCAGGAAGATGGAAATGGGCACCAAGTTAGATAACCGTGGCCCAAGCCACCCACCAGGCCTGACTTTCCCCCTGAGGCGAACCCATGTTGGCACACCATCTTTTCCTCCAGTGCGGCTGTCTCACAGGAGGAGTGACACAGCGACTGAACATCAACGATACAGAGAACTTCCCGGGGTTTTCCTGGGAAATCACGGATGTAGCCGAGCCAAAGCCAGAGGGCAAACCTGTCGAGTGATATCCAAATAACTTTTTTTTGGGGGGGGGAGGGGGAGATATGAAAATGACCCCCATTTCTTGGGTCACCATCAACAGATCCCGGCCTGGGGAAAGAAAAGACCGAGAGCTTGTGGAATTTTGTTTCTCGGTCTCTGCGTGGGTCTTCACAACACGGGCCGTGTTCAGTGGGACGCGGGCAGGAGAAGATACCCAGGGGGCAGGCCGTGCCCAGGAATGGCGGGAGCCAGCACTCCACCCCCTCGTCGCTGTGAAGGTTCTAGAAACGGCCTCTGAAGGCGGCCGAGGTTGCCGGGTGTTGAGAAGCAGCGGCCGTGAGTCAGTAAAGGGCTCTCCCCACCCAAAAAAAGAGTCAGACCATTTTGCATTTGATGTAGATAAAAGTAGAGTTGTTCCCTAAGTGTTTTACAACGTGCATACACACACACACACACACACGACTTTTTCACAACACAGACTTGAAAAAAAGCTCTCCGTTTGCCTGATGTC